AACCTAACCCTAAAACTAACCCTAAAACTAAAACTAACCCTAAAACTAAAACTAACCCTAAAACTAAAACTAACCCTAAAACTAAAACTAACCCTAAAACTAACCCTAAAACTAACCCTAACCCTAACCCTAACCCTAAAACTAAAACTAAAATGCTATTAAAAAGGGTTGTTTTTTTTTTTCCCTGAGTGCTATTCCTTCTTGGACCACAGGAGGGCACTGTTTTCTCTAGGGTTGCGGAACTGCCACAGAAGAATCTTAAAATGCCATCGAAAAGGTGTATTTCTTTTTCTGGCTGCGATACCTATTTTGACCACAGGACGGCACAATTTTCTGCACCTTAGCCATAACTTTCAAGTCACGGGACGGAAAACTGTGCCCTCGTGTGGCCAAAACAGGTATCTCGGCCGCAAAAAGAAAGAAACCTTTTCAATGGCATTTTAAGATTCTTCTGTGCCCGTTCCGCAACCCTGGAAAAAACAGTGCCCTCCTGTGGTCCAACAAGGAATAGCATAACAACCCTAAAACTCCGTTTAAAAAGTATCTTTCTTTTTGGGGCTGCGATACCTATTTTGACCACAGGAGGGCACAATTTTCTGCACCTTAGCGATCACTTTAAAGTCATGGCACCGAAAACTGTGCCCTCGTGTGGCCAAAACGGGTACTGTGGCTGCAAAAAGAAACCCTTTTAATGGGATTTTAAGGTTATTATCCTGTATCTTTATTGTTAACGTCTTATTAATATTTATTAAAGCGACGGGAGGCCCCTTTGCTGCAACACAGGAACTGAAAAAGAAATCTCGCTTCAAAAGCCTTAACCGGAGTTAAGGAGGCCTGTGATGGCCTATTGATATTAATAAAGTTTTAATAATAAAGAATAACAACGCTAAAACTCCATTTAAAAAGTTTCTTTCTTTTCGTTGCTGCGATCCCTGCTTGGACCCTTAGGAAGAACGAAGGAAGTAGGAGGAGAGACAGGAAGGAACAGAAGGGGAGAAGAAAGGTTGGAGTAAAGGTAAAGGTTTACCCGGAGCAGCCCTTAAAAAGTAAAAATAAAAAATGAAAGTTAAAAGCTCGTTTTTTACCAACGGCGATGGGGGTTGGACAGGAGACGGACGGAAAGTTGCGCTGACGCTGGGAAGGTCGCTCCGAGAAGCGCTGGTACAGAAAAAATCGGCGACCGTGCTTTTTCTGCCTGCTATTCCTTCTTGGACCACAGGGGGGCACTGTTTTCTCCAGGGTTGCGGAACGGGCACAGAAGAATCTTAAAATGCCATCGAAAAGGTTTCTTTCTTTTTGAGGCTGCGATACCTGCTTTGACCACAGGAGGACACAATTTTCTGCACGTTAGCGATAACTTTGAAGTCATGGGACGGAAAACTGTGCCCTCGTGTGGCCAAAACGGGTACTGTGGCTGCAAAAAGAAACCCTTTTAATGGGATTTTAAGGTTATTATCCTGTACCTTTATTATTAACGTCTTATTAATATTTATTAAAGCGACGGGAGGCCCCTTTGCTGCAACACTGGAACTGGAAAAGAAATCCCGCTTCAAAAGCCTTAACCGGAGTTAAGGAGGCCTGTGATGGCCCATTGATATTAATAAAGTTTTAATAATAAAAAATAACAACCCTAAAATTCCATTTAAAAAGTTTCTTTCTTTTGGTTGCTGCGATCCCTGCTTGGACCGCAGGATAGCGCTGTTTTTCGTCAACCTTAGCGTGGAGGCCGTTGTAGACCTTTTGACCTCAGGTTAAGGCTTTTGAAGCAGGATTCTTTCTTTTTGCCTGTTATACAGAATAATAATCTTTAAATGCTATTAAAAAGGGTTTTTTTCTTTTTTTGTGTGGCTGCTATTCCTCCTTGGACCACAGGAGGGCACTGTTTTCTGTCCCTTAGCGATAGCTTTGAAGGTATCGAGATATTACTTTATCGTGGTGGTAGGCTGTGAGGAGAACCCTAACCCTAACCCTAACCCCTGACCTTTGACCCTGACCCCTGACCTTTGACCTTTGACCTTTGACCTTTGACCTCTGCCTCCCAGCGATTTACCTCCTTGCAGCAAGCAACAAGAAGAAACAGCCCATTTCAGCTTCAGCACAGCCTAATTAGCACAACTTGATTGGATCCGCAGCCCAACTCTCAGCTGTTTTGCCTGGCCTCTGCTGCTTGCTGCGAAGAGGTCAATGGCTGGGAACAATTTTTTTTTTGTGCTACTCAAGCTATGTTGAAAATAAAAATGAAAGTAAAGCAGGCTATTTTGCTGTAACGAGGCAAAATTGCTGAGAGGAAGAGGCAGATTTCTTTTTCTTGTTTTCCTCACCAAAAAAGGTAGGTGCATCTTATAGTCCAGAGCATCTTATACTCCAAAAATTACAGTATATGCCGTTCGTCTCCCTGATAAGACGACTGTCTTATCAGGGAGACTGTGGCAGGCTACAGGCAATCTTCTCCGCAGCGTAAGAAGACAGAAGGATGCGTTGAATTTGACACTACCGATTTCCCTACGAAGCCTCTGCAACAGCACTTGCCCGCAAAACCCCCAGATTACAAGACTGGGGCTATTCATTTTAGAAAAAGAGCCACGTGCTGAGGTGCAGACGTGAAGGGGAGGATGCCGTTCTCTCCCTCAAAACAGCAGTCCTAACGGATCAGGACAGGCCAAAGAAAGTCTTTCCTCAAGAAATTAGCGTTAACGTACAGAATCTGCTTCCGTGGGGACCAGGTGATGGCCACCGACCTCAATGCACTGAAAGGAGGGACGATGGAGGGGACTGTTTGTCATGAGGCTACGTGCTGCCTGGGGCGATGAGGGCTAGATGCTTGAGCTGAAGGAGGCTTTCCTGTCCTACTTCTTGGGCTTTCAACCGGTCCGATGGAAAGCAAAATCCGAGCGGGCTTTAACTGAGTAAGAGGGTCAAGACTGCCGCTGGAGATTCGGAGGGCAAAGGAGCCCGGGGGCCTAGCGGAAGAGGTGGTGGAGGACGGAGGCGGTCCCTCTGACTAGGGACGGGTGCAGGGAGGAGAATGGGACCGAGGGGCCGGTCCTTGGAAGTGGATGGCTGCAACCGGTAAGCGAATGGGGTTCCCGCGCTTTTGAATATTTCAATTTACTGAGAAGAAACAGCTACGGTATCTTATATAAGCCGTAAGCAGGTGATGGGTCCAGCTGAAAAATCTACATGGACAAAAATGTGTAAACTGCAAAATACAGGTATAATTTTATTTACGGTTTAATATAGTATTAACAATGATAGGCAATCTGGCCTGACTATTTGCACTGAAATATGAACAACTCCTTCTCTCAAAGTATATCCCCAAAGGACGGCTATCAGGGAGATATGCCGGTACTGGTCTGTCCCTCGTGATCGCTTTAGAGGTGCGATTGGCCTCTGCCTTGAAAGATCCTGGATCCCGGGGTCTCCCCGGTTGCTGTGTCACAGCTGGATACGCACGGATTGGTGCGTGAAGGGCCACGTGTTCCTGGGATGGCGTGGAGTACTTGTACTGCTTGCCACAGAATTCACAGGTATAGTTGCCTGTTTCTACAAAGTAAGAAAACAATTTTCAGAAGGAGAAAAGGTTTTCCCAAAAACCCTTGACCCAAACGTGGATCTCAATTCAGAGCGTAGCAGGCTAGACGTTTCCCACGTGACCTCGTGAGATGAGTTCCAAGTTTTCTTGACCGAGGGGGCCCTGGGCGCCCACCTTCGTGTTAACTGTTTCCTCTGTTTTGCCCCAGCTCTCTTTCCTGGAGAGAGGCTGAAAAGACACGGCTGCTACAGAGGCTAGACTTCCTTTTGCAGAAGTAGCGTTTGGGAGTGGGCTGTATAAACCGTCGCAGACAGCAAAGGCCAAGTCGTGCTCTCATCAGCGCTTACGAGGGGTATCATCTCAGATCATGATCTATTTCTAGTTTTAATATCGCTCCCCACCCTCAATTTCACCCTATTCCCGAAGAAAACATGGTAACGTACTTTTTTTTATCCCAGAGGACAATACTTAGACGATATCTTCCCCTTTAATGAAGAGCTCTTTGTGAATTCTAAAATTAAGTCATGAGAAATGCAAGTGGAATGTTTTTCCTAGGTCTGAATATAATTATAAATTATAAATAACGTGCGCTTAATTCCTTCTCTTTGCAATAAAGTATTTACATCTAAATACTTTGGCCAAATTGGATTGTTTTAACCAGATGCTTATAAAAGTATGTAACGTTAAGCGAGAATAATTTTATAATTCCCCGACTCAACCGTGTTTGTTTCTTCTCTATGTCAAACGTGGAAGATTAATTTTTTGGTTTACTTAGGAGTGCTATTTGCAAGCAGGTTGCTTGTCTCCTGACGGATGGCCGCAGTCCGAGTTCGAGCTGTTGCTTTGCGTGCAAAAGGTCCGGGTTCACCCCTGCGTTTCCAGGGAAGGGCTGGGAAAAACCCCTCTGCTTGAACGGATGTTCAGAGCCCTGCAGCCGGTCCGTGCCGATAGTCGTGGGACAGATGGACCGACGAGCAGACCTGATACCGAGCGGCTTTCGGGCATCCTGGGAGTTATTCTGCCTGCTACGCCTTGGAAAACCTAGCGGTTGCTATCGGTGCTCCTTAAACAAACCCCGGTGAAAGATACATCCGAGGAAGATTTTCCGACGTCACCAGCCGTGCCCAGAGGAATGGAGTCCGGGTCCTGCACGGGCAAAGAATGTGCTCTTTCTGTTGGACTAGTGAGAGCTTCCTGCCTTTGCCAGAAACGCTCCATCCCTGGCTTGGGCCTGAAACCTCAGCTCTGAAACGCTGAAAGCTAGTTAATGACTTAAGTTGCAAACTCGGTCAATCGTACTTGGACTGATCTTCTGAAAGGGCTGGGGCTCCTCTTCTTTCACCTCCTCCTTGGCAATCGTTGCTTGGTCGTAGGGGTCTGCGAGAGGAGAGAGAGAGCTGATCGGGGCGTGTGGAAACGCCTCCCTGGCTTTATCCCTCGGACCTGCTCTCATCCTTAGTCTTAAATAGACTAACATACATTTCACACGTGTATAGTATTTTTACTGAATATATTTTTCTTGATAATCTCCCTATTAAAGTGACTAATAATAAGATGTGTGTTTCCAATTCGGGATATAAAATTTGCACTTATTATTTCTTTTTAAAGTATGACAACTTGATTGCAAAAAACTGCAGTCGTTCTTAACAAGAGTCAGACTACTTCCAAAAAGCAACACGACCGGCCTACCTCTACCAAGAGGCCCCGAGACTCTCCTATCCACCAAACAGGCGCTCTTTCTCCCGACGGAGTGGATTAATCTCTGCACACACCCACGGGTGCTTCAAACTGCAACACGGCAGGGCTTCCGGCTCCATTCTCTATCCGTTGAGCATTCGCCCGAATGCTCCTCGGTCAAAGACTTCCTAAAGGGTTGGAATCATTGAGCCAGAAGTTTCTATTGGCTGAAACTTTATTGCCAAAAGTTGTATGGTATTATGTCTCTAAACTAGCTGGGTATATGTAGATAAGCGCACACACAACAACAACAACATTCTAATGGTTTCCCTTGGATTTTGATTTTTTGCATCACCCAATGGTGTCAACGGCCCTGCACAAAAGCTCCCCTCCCGAGCTTCTTTCCATAAAATGCAGGCCGGGGTTACCTGCGAAGAGCTCTAAGCGATAACTAAAGGTCCTGAGAACGGGTGCCGGAGCCTGCAGGCTTGCCTGCCCCGTGCCTCCTTTCCCTTCCCTTGGGAGGAGATGGGAAGCTCTAGTCCCGTGATGGTGAACTTGTGGCATGCGGAGCCATATTGGTGGGCATGCGAGTATTGCCCTAGCTCAACTCCAGCGGGCATGCACATGCTGACCAACTGATTCCGGTCCCACCGGAAGTCAGGAAACGAGACGAAACGAAACCCTAACCCTAAACCCTAAAGGATTGAACTGGAAAGGGAAACGACAGGAGAGAGGGGAAGGGAGAACGGAGGACAGGAGAGAACAGGAGAAAGAAGAAAGGGGAAAGGAGAGGAAGAAAAGGGAGGGGAAAGAGGAGTAGAGGAGTGGGGGAAGGGAAGGGGAAGTAGGAAAGAGAAGGAGAGGAAGAACAAAGGAAGAACGAAGGAAGTAGGAGGAGAGGAAGGAAAAGAAGGGGAGAAGAAAAGTTGGAATAAAGGTAAAGGGTAAAAGAGCAGCCCTGAAAACCTGCTATTCCCTCTTGGACCACTGGATGGCACTGTTTTCTCCAGGGTTGCGGAACTGGCACGGAAGAATAACTTCAATACGTACGGATAACAATCTTAAAATGTCATCGAAAAGGTTTCTTTCTTTTTGTGGCTGCTATACCTGCTTTGACCACAGGATGGCACAATTTTCTGCACGTTAGCGATAACTTTGAAGTCATGGGACGGAAAACTGTGCCCTCGTGTGGCCAAAACAGGTACTGCGGCTGCAAAAAGAAACCCTTTTAATGGGATTTTAAGGTTATTATCCTGTACCTTTATTATTAACGTCTTATTAATATTTATTATAGCAACGGGAGGCCCGTTTGGTGCAACACAGGAACTGGAAAAGAAATCTCGTTTCAAAAGCCTTAACCGAAGTTAAGAAGGCCTGAGAGGCCTATTAATATTATTAAAGTTTTAATAATAAAGAATAACAACCCTACAACTCCATTTAAAAAGTTTCTTTCTTTTGGTTGCTGCGATCCCTGCTTGGACCGCACGATGGCGCTGTTTTCTGTCAACGTTAGCGTGGAGGCCGTTGTAGACCTTTTGACCTCAGGTTAAGGCTTTTGAAGCAGGATTCTTTCTTTTGTGTCCGTTATGTAGCTCCTGGGCCTCCCGTTGCTCTATTAATATTAATAAGGTTTTTAATAATAAAGAGACAGAATAATAATCTTTAAATGCTATTAAAAAGGTTTTTTTGTGGCTGCTATATCTGCTTGGGCCACAGGAGGGCACTGTTTTCTGTCACTTAGCAATAGCTTTGAAGGTATAGAGATATTACTTTATCGTGGTGGTAGGCTGTGTGGAGAACCCTAACCCTTAGCCTAAACCCTAAACCCTAACCCTAACCCTAACCCTAACCCCTAAATCCCTAAACCCTAACCCCTAACCCTAAACCCTAAACCCTAAACCCTAAACCCTAGCCCCTAATCCCTAATCCCAAACCCAACCCCTAACCCCTAACCCCTTAGCCTAAACCCTAAACCCTAACCCCAACTCCTAAATCCCTAAATCCCTAAACCCTAACCCCTAACCCCTAACCCCAAACCCTAAACCCTAGCCCCTAACCCCTAACCCCTAACCCCAAACCCAACCCCTAACCCCTTAGCCTAAACCCTAACCCTAACCCTAACCCCTAAATCCCTAAACCCTAACCCCTAACCCCTAACCCTAACCATAAAAAAAAACTAGTATGGCCTCCATGTTAATGCTAACGTCTTAGCATTAGTAACACGTCTTGCAGAGGTTATTGCTACCAGGAAGGCGACTTTGAGCGTCAGAAGACGAAGGCTGATGGAGCCCAATGGTTCAAAGAGGGATGTCATGAGTACTTGAAGAACCAGGGAAAAGTCCTGAGTCAGATAGTGATGGACAACAGGGGGCCGAAGGTTGGCTGCCCCTTTAAGAAACCACCAAATCCTTGAGTTATGAGACAGAGGACGATCATCATCTCCGGACAGGACCGTGTACAAGGCCGCAACCTGTCTGGGAAGTGTGTTTGGCGCAAGACCCACAAACAGAATGACCTGCAGGTTGCATTGTAGATCCTGGTCGTAGATGCGCGTCTAGAAAAATGTGCCATCCGGTGGTCAAAGCAGGTATTGTGGCCACAAAAAGAAACAAACATTTTTAATGGGATTTTAAAGTTATTATCCTGTATCTTTATTATTAACGCCTTATTACCTGTAATAGGCAACGATGCAGTTTGCTGCATCAAAGGAACAGGAAAAAAATCCTGCAAAAGCCTTACACCGAGTTAAGAAGGCCTATGATGGCCTGTTAATATTAATCATAAGGTTTTAATAAACAAAGAAAGAAGTAAATAAAGAAGTCAGCAGCCATGCAGACAAGATCAACGGAAGCGGATCATCCCCTTAAGAGGAGGATAGAGGGGTGATGCTTTTCCTGCCGCTCTGCACTGTGGGGCTTCGCTTCTCGGTCTCCGCAATCCTGGGCAAAAGTGGGAGGCGAGCGATTATCGGCAGGTTGCCCTCCGTTTTGTTTTTTCCTAAATGATAAAACGTAATTGTGCATAAAAAGCATTTTTACCTTTTTTTTCTATATTTTGGTAAATTGTTCCTTTTCCCGTTGGCTAATTGCTGCTGTTGAACCGTCTTCCCCCCTTGGGAAGCTGAATTGCTACCCTTTAACAGGCTGTTCAATAGTTCATTTAGTGAACGTTTAGCTACAACGGCAATGAAGAGTGTGACTTTTTCAGACTTATGGCATTCCCATGGTCACGTGATCAAAATTGGGATGCTTGGTAACTGGCATGTGTTTATGCCAGGCTCGTGTGTCCCCTTTTGGGTCTTGCCTACTGAGAAAAATTGGGGGCTCGATTGTCATAAATTGAGGACTACCTGTATATTGGACGTGGAAACCAGCAGTGCTTTTTGAAGGTATTACAAAAAAAGTAATTTTATTATATAAATGTAGGATGTTGGCTAAGTCTCCAGCTCTACCGTTTCCCCAGTGAAGAAAATTAGCACCCACCCCTCTCCTAGAAGAATGAAATATTTTAGGAAATACTGAAAAGGCAGAGTATTATATTTCCCTGGATGAGAAAAGGAGAAATATGTTTTTAAAGACAATGCAGCTCCCTGCCTCCCCCCTTCAGCTCCAGGCCCGTGGGATTAAGACATGACCCTCAGGACATGATAGGATTAGCCTTCTACCCATCTAATAGCAGGGATCACCGCATCACCTAGGGATGTTACATCAATCCACCGTTCAATCACACTTATCTCAGACAAACTCCTAGGATTTGCACATGACCCCTACAGCAACCAATGGGATACCTGCCCTTGCACAGGAACAGGAAGCTCTAGGGCATGGCCCGAGAGAAGGTATAAAATAAATGTATCTCTCTCTCCACTCCGTGTGGTCAACTATCCAGAATCACAGGTGCTTGGTCATTCTGCTTCACCATTAAACCATCCTTCCAAGCAGCCTCCGTGTTTCCGGTGTCTTTCTCCCCACTTGGAACTGAACCCAGATGGACATTTCTTCCTACGCCAAAGATGCAAAGAAGTAACCCGACATCTTTTACTTATGTGTAAGTATGCAGGCGTTATTTTCCCCTTTCTGAAATCTATAAATATCAGTACGTATCTTTTACATGAGTTCAAATTAAAAAGGGAAAGCAAGACAGATAAGTATCAAGTTCCTTAAAATGTGCAACTGAAAAAGGGACCTCTCGATTACTGGGAACCGAGCGTTGTCTCAAAACCCAGGCCCCCTGAGTGGGCATGGAGTTATTCCCCGAATTTGGGAGAGAAAACATGCACCTTTACCTTTGCAAAGGGGCTTCTTGGTTTCTTGAAAATAAAAATCACCAAGAAATTCAGGCAAAGCTAAAAGTGTACAGGTCGAGTTGTTATAGCGTAAAGAAACAAACGATACGTACATTGGGTAGTGTGATGCATAAGTAAGTGATCAAACGATACAATATATAGATTGCCTGTGAGGTTTAATCGACAAAGTATTCTTTCTAAATAGCATTCCATGAGTGATAAATTTCTTGGCTACGCTACTCTCTCTGAGTTAGGTTTGCATTTATCTTGAAAGGCGTGAGGACTTTCAGTATCTGTTTTCTATTGTGTAGTTGCTGAAAAGACAACTTCTTGTTTACCAATTTTTTAAAAACCCGGTGAGCTGAATTTCTACAATTAAAAAATCAAAATCAGCAAGAGGTGTTAACTTTACTAAGATCACAATTTTTAAGCGGATGAACCTCAACTCTTACATTTCATGTCCACGCTTTATTGAGCATGACTGACTGCCTTCTGGGCAAAACTAAAGATCCCAGCAATGTCCTTCGGAACCGTCAATGGCTTCGTGACTATTGGGCAATTTTTACCCCCGCCCCCTTGCACAGCTGTGAACCTGCACAGCAAAACAGGCCTTTGGGAAATTCCGCCATTGCCAGGAGCCGGGCCTTCTGGTAGGGAGATTGCGGGCGGTGGTTTTCTCTCTTGCGTTGTCCCAAAGGGGGAAAGGCAAACTTCAGAGAAAGGCTCTTCTTCCCCCGTTCTCCAGCATTTACCCAGGTGCTAAAACTTTGCTTCTGCCAATCTTTTTGTTTGTAATTTATTCCAACATTTAAGATTGATATGAATTGCAGTGATCCCTTAGCTTAGAATTTTCTATCCTTTTTATACCAATTTAAACTGCCTCGATGATGGAACAAATAGAAATTAATGTGATTTTGATTGGCATTAACTGAATTATGATTACATTTAATGTTTAGTGAGATTTAAATTTAATACTAACCATTATGATAATTTTTTCAGTTGTTTATGATTGTTTAAGAAGTAACGAGCCTTCAACAGAAACAGCCCCCTCTTTTCAAGCAAGATCCGCCACCTTTTCTCTGAATTAAAATCAATAGTCTATCTTCAACAACCGTTAGAATTAAATGCCTGTTGCTAATCTTAGCTGCCAACCATCATCTCCACTTTCAACCCCCTTCTCTTCCCGTGAACCTCCTGGGTACTTTTTATGACTTTCCCATCTGCCGACTCCATATTTGCCAATCCTCCCCTCCCCTCCCCAACCCCCTCCTCCTCTTCCTTCTCCAATCTAAATTATTTTTTATTCCCAGCTCCTTACCGGCAAAGCCTAGCGCAGAGGTAGTATAAAGAGATTACTAGGGTATCTACATAGATAACGCGAGAAACTAAACGCACAAATGTTCCAGATATGATCTGTGGTGTCAACCCCATTTGTTATGCTAGCGTATAACATAAATAAACTGCACATATTTGTAATATTCATCTGCTCACTGTGGGATAATGCTACTTTCAATATGATAAAAATATGCCCAAGAATATTAATTCGGGAATATTGATTTCCAACTACATAGCAAAAAACTTACATTTTCTATTAGAGACTAATCCTCGCTATTACAGATAATCAGGGATGCCCATATTTTTTAAAAAATAGTATAATATCCTGTTTCCCCCAAAATAAGACATCTCCTGATAATAAGTCCAATCGGGCTTTTGAGCGCATGGCCATAAGGCCAAGCGCTTATTTCAGGGTTCAAAAAAATCTAAGACAGGGTCTTATTTTCGGGGAAACACAGTAAATGCAGACACAATTTTAGAACTGTGGCATGTTGGGGTACACAAATAAAGGAGATACAGTTTGTAAAAATAGGTAATGAAATAAATCCTTCCAATCGCTGGATTTCTATTCCCTCAAACCTAGAAGTTTGAGTGCATTAACATTTCAGAGCGACAAATTCTCCAACCGAGCGTTCTTTATCAGTAATATTGCAGTCCTGCATATGCAAAAGAGTTTAGAAAAACAAAAAGCAAGGCATTTGGTAGCATATCAAAATTATAACCGTGTGCAGATAGTCTGGAAATTATGCGTTATTAATTTGAAAAAGCAAAAAACATACAGTTCCTTGGCTTGATAAAATGAAGTTCTAAGAGAACTCAGATGTACCGAAACCAACAAATCTTTTCAAGTTATTTGATAAATGAACAAGGGAATATAGGATTTAGTTTTCACGAAACAATGCCCAGCGAAATTGTGTTCTCCGATGTGGTAATATTAGATCTAAAGACAAATCTTTCTGCTCTTTCTCAGAATTTACAAATTGATAACCAAGTATATTTAAAGCACCTCTACAAACTTCTTGCACTTTTTGGACTTTCTGGAATGAAAGAACATTTCTCCATGCCTGGGAAACATTGAGTGCATCTCGAGAAGTGATCTGGAAAGCTTCTTTCTTCTTACTTGGTCCTTGTCCATGTGTAATATTATAGATCCAATTTTCAAGCTTCTGGGTCAATGGAAGATCTGTAAATGTATACATTGCAGTAATTTCCATTAAAGGATCCCGCACAATGTCTTCAAATCGGATCAATAAATAACGATCTTTTAAAAATAATGGAGGCTTCTGACTAGCTGTTTCATAGATCTGAACGTGGCTTCTACAAATCTCCTGCAGGACTTTAAAACCACTGTCATCCACTCTGCTGCTATTTATGCCCAGAATTATTCCACTGTCACGGGCAAGGGCTTTGACAGATTGTTCCCGAGATTTCAGGACAGCCCTGGGGTCACGGACCAGATGGATGATTTTGAGATTCAGGGAGGTGTCAGCGAGGAGTGGATAGAGCACTTTAAGGTCAAAGAAACGGACTTCCTTTAGGACAACATGGCTATAGGTCTTGCAGGCCTCTTCTACTTTACTGAAAGGATACTTGCCACAGAGAGTTTTGCAAGCGCTTTCCCCAGTAATATCAGTCCGTTGGAAGAATTCACAAGCAGGCCTCGTACATAATGCCCGGCTCACGGCCCACTGGAACAGATCAGACAAATTTCTGTTTCTCTTCCAGGGCATGTAGGCATCAAACACTGACATGTCACACTTGAAGACAGACCGGATGAGATCCCGCACTGCCATGTGCAAGACCTTGGCACTGTTTTGGTACATGTTTGCCCACACGTGCCAGGCTGGCTCCATTAGATAGAAGACATTGGGATGCTGACTGAAGAGTTGTCCCACAAAGGAAGAGCCTGACCTCCAAGAGGAAAGGATGAGGATGTGCACCTGGGCAGGTTTTTCCATAGACTGAGGAATGAAGCCATCTTGTTGAGTATATAGAAAGACTAGAAATCCTGTCTGGATTGCCAAGATAATTGCAACTGTGGCATTGGAAAGGCGGAGCCTCAGCATCCTGGGTGAAGCCGAGTATGACTGTCCGAGTATGGAATGTTTTTTAAAGCATCGATTTGATGGAATTATCCTTTAGCAGTTTTACAAATTACAGATTGGGGTGGATAAATGAATTGTATGGAGAATCCCAGATTACTGTGTCATGGATCCACAATGATGAGAAAAGCTAAAAGAAATGCGTACGGGGTGTTAATAAACAAGTTAAATAATAATTCTGCTATTCCAATTTATATGCATTATTTACTCTGGAAACAATGGAAGTATATTTTCCTCTACACAGCCTTAAAACTCATATGGATAGAATTCAGCCTCTCTCTAATATTACAGGAGTGAACAAACTGAAGGGTTTGGGGTTCAGGTTTCCTTTAACCCTCATAAAGCAAGTAAAATACAAATGGGAAATAATTGCTCTTTCGGTACAAGATTTTTACAAGAAAAATTTTCTTGCGTACAAGATTTTTAAATACGTAAGAGGCGTGGTGGCCCAGTGGTTAGAATGCAGTATCGCAGGCTAACTCTGCTCCTATTGCCAGGAGTTTGATTCTTTCCACGCTAATCCGCTCAAGGTTGACTCAGCCTTCCATCCTTCCGAGGTCGGTAAAATGAGGACCCGGATTGTTGGGGACAAACAAAATCGCTTAGAGACGGCAGTAAAGGACTAGGAAGCGGTATATAAGTCTAAGGGCTGTTGGGAAAAAGTCTTCACAGTGTTCTTGCGCAAAAATCTCTGGGCAACTGTTTTTGAAGGGAGGGGGGCTCGTTTAAGCTGCAGCCGTTCCCCCTAGGTTTGGGATTCGGAAGTCGGCCCCGCCCGGCCCTGAAATTTAGCCTAAAATCGCGGAGCGGAGGCGGGATTCCGCGCTTGCAATAGTGCAGCTGTTGAAAATTGTGCCGGCCGGCGCCAAGGTGCCGGTGCGGACGCTCTTCCCGGTGCTTATTCAGACGCTCGACACCCGTGCCCTCGAGGTTTGCATGGCGCCCGGTACCGCAGGCGCGACTGTCTGCCAGCGCATCTGCTAAGCTAGCTGGATAGATATCCGCAAGGAAGAAGCTCCGCGCCCCGGTCGGAGGAAGAGGGCGCGCCAAGACCGTCGCTCATCCCGACACCTGGAACTGCAGCCTCCTGTTTCCCAACCGCTACACCCGCCCGGCACCAGCCCATCCCGGCCACTAACCTCAGTAACTGCCGGCGGCCGACCAAAGAGGTCGCGGCTAGTCCGGAGACGGCAGGAAGGTGAGGCTGCGGCGCCGGCTCCAAGTACAATGAGCGGCATTCAGACGTGGCCTCTCTTCTACGGCTGCGGGGGAGGCGCCAATCAGGGACAAGCCCTATGGAGGGTGGAGGCGGTGGGCCACTTCTTCCCTCCTGGAGGGGTGCCCAATGGACAGGCCCTCTCCCTCCAGCCCCACCGCAGCCGGCCATCCCGCAGCGGCAAACCTGTCCGTGCAGGAGTTAAAGCAGAGGAGTTGGCAGAGGCTCTCCGTGAGAAGCCTTAGACCCAGTTGAGAAAAGGAAGCCTCTCTCACCCTAGTCCTTAAATCCACAAAGGTGGCTTCACCAGGTGACACCAAAAGTTTTGTGGGAGAACTTCTGCTTTCCTCTTTAGTGGAAAGATGACCCATGGCCCAATTTATTTAGCCTTAGTCCAATTACATTTATATGTTAATAAACAGTCACATATTAAGGTGCTGTTTATTTCTTAGCACAAAGGGATAAGGATGGAATGGTTCAGGCCTGGCCTCAACTTGCAACGAGTTGAAATGTTTTAATAGAATAAGAATAGAATAGAGAATAAAAACTTTGTCACTTTAAATGTACGCTAACCAGGATACATTGAAATAAATTTTTGTTGCACTCAGTTCTCAAAAGATAATCGTTATGCATATATCCACAAACAGCTATTTAGGGCTGAAAAGTTTTTACAGGCAGAAATAACAGTGTTAAAAACCATCTGCCTTCCTGTTCAGGAATGCTTAGCTCCCTAGAATGATGGATGAGACCCTGGTACCAAGTTACTTGGGAATGTTGTTACTTTGATTAGACAAAGGTCTCAACCTACCCTGTAACATACTTTGTAACCTTTAGTTAAATTGAGTTACTATGCCCACTGAATATATATATATGTGTGTGATATTGCTCTTAATGACTGGTCAATGATGTTATGTGTTTCCATGACAATGAATGCCTTTCAAAATTGTATAAAAGGTCTGCTCCAAGCAGGGGTGCACCCAATTTGAACTTGCTTTGGAGTAACCCTTTTATTTGCCTATAAAAGATTTTTCCCCTATCCATCTATCTGGCATGGTTCATTGGACTTGCACGCCAGGTGAAAGAACCCAAGCTTTCTGGGACAATAGCAGATCCTTATTCCCTTAATTTTCTCCTTGGGATTTTGCAAACAGAAAGGAAAAAAAACAAAGGCGTCCTTTATTTCAGTATTCTTGTAGAAAAAATCTGTCTTTTTAAAGAATGGAGTTCTCTTTTTGTTTCTGTAGTTAATTCCTTCTAGAGGACTTTGCCATCAAGATTGGGATTCAGTTATGTACTTACAGCAAAACTCATTTGTATAACTTTCATTAAATTCTTTATCTTGTCACTGTATTGATTATGGTTGATACGCCATCTGATAGATTGTAATAACAAACAGATTTCTGAAAACAGGACAGGAAAGAAAATCTATACTGAGGACCCACCCACAGATAAACTTTGCAAAATAATATATAAACCCAACCTGTGGAAAGCCTCATCTTCCAAATGCAAAGCAGTGGAGGCCACTGAGAGCAAAGTTCTTTCTCTGTGAAGGCTTGGTCAGGATTTGTGCTCTTTATAGGACAACAGAGGGGGGAGTGGAGACACCGGCACCGTGTTCAGCACTTGATTTCGAAGAAGGAAGATTTTTATTCTTTCAAAAATCCACAAAAAAATCAGGAGGATGCTAATGTACTGCATCCAGGCAAACTTCATCATCTCCCAGAAGCCTGGCTGATATGTACTAAAAAGTCAAGGAGTATTTGGAATCTGAAGCATCGTCATACAAAGGCAAGGATGTGCACTTCCGATTCTTTTGGCTAGTCGTGTGAACTGGGAAGCCTCCCACCTCCCCCCAAGAGTGGCCAGGGACAGTCAAGAAATGAGAACCCCAGAGGTCTCCTTTCCCCCAGACCAATATAAAATGTACCATAAAACTTTTAAGCTTTTTTTTAAAATGCTAGAAACATTCTCTAGAGATACATCCTGTTTGAGTTTCATGGTATTTTTGTAACACAGCTACCTAATGTTACGCAGGCTACAAGTCTTGATACAACAGCCATAGTTGTATTAGTGGCTGAGGCCAAGTGCCATAAACCATCATTCAAAAAAAAAAAAAAAAAAAAAAAAAAACCCCACCGTATCACCCACTGGTAGCCAAAGGATATACAATCAATTCCATCGGATAATGGATGAAGGCCTGAATCACAAATGGTTGATCTGGTGATCTTCCAGTCACCCAAATGGGACTGGGACCAGACAAAACTGTTGTAACTGTAAAGGAAATAATTGTAAATAATATTAAGCCAAATGATCTGAGAAAGACTAGAAATGTTTTGCGTACAAAAACCTAGAACTTCTGTGAAAACTCACCATTCCTCTTCTGATATATTTCAATGATGTTCACAAAATCATAGTCTTGGGCAAAAGGACTTGTACTATTGATCACAGATACCTGTCATAGTGAGAGAATTTTGCATTGGACACAGCATCTTACTGTTAACTAGCATCAGAACACATGATGAATACTTTTAAGCATATACCAAGTGATATGATACCATACAGGTTTATATGTTGGATTAACTTGTATTCTTGTAATACTCTACTGGGTAAAAAGACGACTTAGTTTCATATAAACACAAAGCCTTTCTTAATTGTTCAGAATTTCGTAAATTGCTAATTGATCAAATATATACTGACAGTATTCATAAAACCAAATACTTTGAAAGAATTTGTTTTATATATATATATTTCCTTTCAACTATGGTATTCTATATTTTTAGGATAAATGCATGGTTATTGGATTTTAAGACACTTGTTTTGTATGAGAAAAATCCCAAAAGCCACATTTGTCATGTAGTCAATTTAATATTACCAAACTCTTATTTTGGAACTTTAATGAATAAGCAAAGGCAAGATTATATGTAGATGCAAATGTATGCATCCAAATAACATTATTTTTAAGGAGGTAGATCATATGTTTTTATGGATAGCTTTCTTTTTAATTTTGCCTCTAACAATACTTTTTCTCCTACAGTTTTTTATCTTTAAAATTAACATTTAAAAAAAACAAATCTGAAGTAAGATTGTAATCATACTCAATTTCACTTAGCTACTGCTTCGCTTAACAACCAGTCCCAATTGTGATCACTAAACAAATTGCCAGTCCCAATTGTGATCACTAAACAAGGACTATCTGTACACTAGACAACTGTTATCAATAAACATTCTGAAAAAAATCTCTCAGTTCAAAAATTCAAACAGCTTCTGTTTACTTGCCTCCATGTGGCCTTTATTTTCTGACATCTCAGATTTTATAGGATTTTCATACTTGCTTAGCAACACAAATTTCTTAAGCAGAAGCTACTGAATATAGTATACGACTTCAGCCAGAGCAGTTGCAGAAGAAAAAATAGGCAAAGGACAACAGAACCAATTGAAGAAAGTGAGATGGAGAGGACATCACTCACATTGTATCTGCTATCCAGCCCAGCATGGTGAAGGGGCTGCCTCTGATGAAGTTTGAGGTCTCCATTTACAAATACCTGTGATCCTGGCACAGGGGAAAAAGACTGTAAAAAAGCCATGCTCTGCATCACAAAGGTGGACATTCTCTGAAAGGAGAGCAGCAAATAAACCAGAAAGATGGGGAGCAAATTGTTACACCACAATTTTAGGATGACATCACAAAAAATAGGATTAGAATTACTGAGAAATGTACGGTATAGTAGTTAGACCAAGCAGCTATATATAGAATTCCCAAAGATTTAAAGAATCTGAAAAAAATAGAAGTGGTTGCAATTTTTAAATTTATGGTATAAGGACATTTTAAAAGATGTACAATCCACAGCATTTCTATTTCAATACCAAACTCAACATAGGACATGAACAGAACTGCACATTTCCTCAGAAACTGCATTTAGATATACTATGTATACATACCCACTGTTGCATTATATATAGGAAGCACTACCCTCTATAAATATGATTGCCTTTTAAACCACCCAAATTGGTTCCATTTCTCCCTCCTAATTTTTTCACTATTCAATTTTATTACGTGAAAACGTTTCAGTATTCTGCAAAAAATGCTCCCGTGTTCATTTTTCCTAGATTATGCATAGTTTTGTATATCTAGTCTTTTCTCAAACTGAGTATCCCGAGTACTGTAACTATTAAGCTCCCTGATCAGTTTCTCTCCAGACGTGCACCCTACATAATTTATTTATATCTCGTCTTTATTATTTTTATAAATAACTCCAGGCAGCCAACACACACAATACTCCTTCTCCCTCCTATTTTCTCCATAACAAATACCCTATTAGGTAAGTCGGGCTGAGACAGTGGCCGGCCTAAAGTCACCCAGCCAGCTTTTGTGCCTATGGCAGGACTAGAACTCAGGGTCTCCTGGCTTCTAGCCTTCACCACTAGACCAAACTGGCTCTGCTTTATCACTCTGCTTTGGAGGAGAGAAATGATAATTAGCTATCCATAGCCTCTGGTAATCAACAATACTGCACATCAATACATGTTTCTAAAAGTAGATTCACTAATAAGTATGCAACAGGTTCCTTTTCAGCAAAGCAGTTTTTCTGCCCATCTCGCTCCCCGCTGCAGCTAAATGCCTTGAGCTCCCGCCTAACGGGACAGAAAAGCTGTTCTGCTTCAAAGGAAGACCAGGGAAAGGCGCGGTCAACGCAAGCCAGTCGTCCTCATATCTGAAGGGCTGCTGGGGAGACCCTCACCTGCAACTCGTAGGAGAACGTCAGCAGGAGCTGAATCCCCACCACTCGTTCAGAGGGGAGCAGCGGAAGCTCCAGCTGGAAATGGAGCAGGTCCATCACTCCATCTTGGTCAGAGTCTTCCTCCCGGGCCTGGAATACAGAAGAAACATTGCAAGACCCCCGCCGCGTCCTTCTACGGGGCAGATGCAGCTTCCGCGAAGTCCGGGCTGGCCACCCGAACGGCTGCCAGGCAACCACGCGGACTCCGACCTCCGGCCCCACGGCTTTCCGGAGGGGGGCTCGGTCCCCGCCGTACCGAGACGAGCGGGACGCGCAGGCGGGCGCCCAGCAGGCGGTTGCAGGCGGCGAAGGAGCTCCAGCCCACCGGCCCGTCGCCGACGCCCTCCGTCAGCGCGGCCAGGAGCACCTCGTGCCGGAAGCGGACGCTGGGTTGCTCGGCGTAGCTGCTCCGCGAGAGCCAGAAGCCTGCGCGGAGACAAAGAGCGAGTGAGACGGACGGGCGGGCGGGCGAACGGCAGTCCCGCCCGGGGCGCCCCCTCCGCCGAACCCACCGTGGCTCCGGTAGGCCACCAACAGGGGCGGCACGTAGGTGAGCGCGCCCAGCAGCAGCAGCCCCAGCGCCGCCAGGGAGCACAGCCGGGCCCGCCCGCGCCATCCGCTGCCCGCCGCCACCTCCAGCCAGGCCATGCCGCCGCTGCGCGTCTCCACGGCGACGGACGCGCCGCCCTGCCAGCCAATCGCCGCGGCGGAGGCCGCGCCCGCGTGAGCGTCGGCGGAAGTCCCACCCCCCGTGCGTAGAGGGGCTGCTGCGGGTGCCGAGGAGCTGCTGGAGGACGACAGGCCCGACTCGCCCGCCCGCCGCCTCGCCCGACCATGAAGTGGATGTTCAAGGAGGACCACGCGCTGGGTAAGCGGGCCGCGCCGGGCGGGCGGGCGGGCGGGCGGGCGGGGGCCGGGCTCGGGCGCCTGACGCGGCTCTCCTCCACTTCTCCGCAGAGCATCGGTGCGTAGAGTCTGCCAAGATCCGGGCCAAGTACCCCGACCGCGTCCCGGTGAGTCGGCGGAACGGGAAGCGGGCTTCGCTCGAGGGCAGAGGCCGCCCGGGGGGCGATCGAGGGGGGGCCGGGATGCCTAGGGCGGGGGGCGGCGGCCTTGTTATTTCCCGGAGCCTCCTCCCCGAGCCTCTCGGCAGCGGCCCGCCAAGCTCTGCCGGGGGGCGGAGGGCTCCGCAACGACTGGCAGGCCCTTCTTTCCCAGGGAACGGGAGGCGCCAGGACCCTTCCCCGGTGGATCGTCCCTAGGAAGTCTGACTCGCCCGTGTTTCTTTCGGGCAAACACGTGACCGGCGCCACTGCTCGCCTCCCCTTCCTGGCGCTTCCGTGACGGGGCTGAAGGAAGCGCTGGGGTGCCGGCCGAGATAAATTTCTTCTGTCTCGATGCAGGTGATCGTGGAAAAGGTCTCTGGATCTCAGATTGTGGACATCGACAAGAGGAAGTACCTGGTTCCCTCGGACATAACCGTGGCTCAGTTCATGTGGATCATCAGGAAGCGGATCCAGTTGCCCTCCGAGAAGGCCATATTTCTCTTTGTAGACAAGACTGTCCCCCAATCTAGGTGAGATTTTGGGGGGGGGATTGTTTGTAGTAATAGGACAAAAGTCGGCCTTTCGTTTCTGGAAATTGTGGAGTCGTCCTAATCTTGGATAATGGATGTAGCCATTTCCTCACGTAGAACAGGTTTCTTCTCTCAAGTGGCTAGGGCTAACGTTTTCTACATGACATTCATGTTAAATTCTAGACTCGACTATTAGCTCTAGCCAATATGGTTAGTGGCATTGTGGGAGTCAAGACACCAGGGTGGGATGTGCACCACTTGCCAATCCTTGTACTTGAAAATCAGATTAGAGTTAGGGGTTAATTTAAGGAAACTGTTATCAAGTTTCCGTTTTCATTCTACTGCACTATTTCATCCACTATACATGACCTTGTTTTCTGTTACTTCCCAATTTTTTTCCACTTTGCACCAAAGTACAAAATTCCTGCTCTATGGTTTCTCTACGCAGAGATGGTCAAGAGACGACTATATTTATTGTAGAAAAAAAAGGTGGATTTGTTTAACAAGGTATCCAAATTCATACTTTCAAAGCTCATCAGGCAACAAAGCTTAGTCTTGCAGGGTTACTCATTCCTCACTTTCATCCACCCACCGTTTTGCGATTTGCACATTCCCGTTTTGTTGATATATGATGGTTTTCTTGCTTTTTTTTTTTTTTTTTTACAGTTTAACCATGGGACAGCTTTATGAGAAGGAGAAGGATGAGGATGGCTTCTTGTACGTGGCTTACAGTGGAGAAAACACCTTTGGTTTCTGATTTCATCTCCATCCTGTTGCTTTGTAAATAGCCTCCTGTTCTTCATCATGACCCTGAGGGGCATTTTTCATTTGTCACTGGGTTGATTTAATATATTGATAGATTTTTGTTTGTCATTTTAGTAATTTATAAAATTTTATTTTTCTGTTACACGTGTAACCATAGCTATAAATTTCCTTGCATCCTTTCTGCTGGGACATATTTAATGGCATTATTCAAATACGGATGCAACCGTAGATAATTAATGATGGGAGAGAAATTTTGAAACTAAATGTTAGCATAATAATTAGTTTCATAGAAATGGCAGTTTCTGTAATACCCTAAGGATGCTGATATGTTTATCTTGGCTAGCGAGTTGCTTTTATTGAATTTTGCTTAAGAAGCAACAATTAAAGTTACTGTCACAAAAATGTAGCATCAAGTCAGTATCATTCCTTAGCAACCCCAGATAAATTTTGTCCAATATGCCTTCGGCATAGAAATATGATAAATTAAATTAAATTCTGTCCCGTTTTCAATTTTTTTACTTCCATGGTGTAAAAAGAAACCTTTGCCAGCACAATTCTAATATTTTTAAGTATAGACACATCACAGCATCTACCTATCTTTTCCAAGGTCTTCATTTTACCCTATCAAGTACTAGTCTGCTATATTTCTTAACTGCTGATTCCTTTATAGTTGATAGTCAAAGCTGAAACTATTCAGTGTGTTCATTGTCAATTGTGCATTCTAAAGCTGCTCGCTATCCGTTGCCATTAAGTTGGTATTTGTAGTTAAAACTGTACTCTCATCTTTTCAGTATATATTCTATCTCAAGTTACACACGTATAGGTTTTACCCTGTCTTAACTCAGAAGCAGGGCTAACTGGCTCTATATGCACACAACCACAGTTCCAAATTCTAATTAAATTTAGTGTAGTCCAAGCCCAAAGGAACAGGTGGGAGCATCAAGTCAGAGTTCACATTCCAAAAGAATCCAAATGCAGATCATCAACTGTTCCATATTCAAGTTTTCTCAGAGAAAGGCTGGCAATGATGCTTTTTAAATGAAGCAGGCAGTCAAGAACAGGACTGCCCTTGCTGCACAATGGATCGTACAGATCTTTTTTGGACCCACAGCTCTCCCGGACTGGGAGGAAGTTAGGAATCGGGGTTTTCATCTGCCGCCTACAGTTGTCTCTGTCTCTGTCCTTGTCCCTAACCTAACCCAAACTGAAACTAGTCTGTTTTGCAATCTGGATTTCATATCCTATCCTGTGCATAAGTTTCACATGAAGACAAATGATATTGTTCCAGAATTCCCAGTTTCCTAAGGACATTCCGTTGCTTGACTTAGTTGACACAATTGCGCACCTATCCAGTCATTGAAACATACTTTTTTTGGTTATTTTCGGATTTTCTCAATTATACTGTGTGCATCAGCAATAATGCCTTTGTTCCCTGGTTTTTTTCCTACGGCCAGCATGACATCTGGACTTTCTCTTTTCATGCAGGACTCTAAGCTCATGATTCTAAGCGTTAAGGAACTATATAATAGTTTGCATGCTTACTTAAGTCTTCTTTAATACTGATATGTCAACCAGCCTCTAACAATCTGTGGGCCACTGTGCTGATCTCCAAATTTGCTGATATGGTTTGGTTTTACTGGCTTTACTGATTCTTCTTCTGTTGCTTGCTATATTTCCAAATATATTCCATCAATTCTTGTAGCCTTCTGACTTGATAATTACTGCAATACTGATATTCAAGTTGAAAATCAAGTTGATTTTCTACTACTAGAAGTTCTTGTAATAAGGAATATTTCTAAGGTACCTTGGATGTTGAGTCTCGCTGTACAGAAATACAATATACACCCCAATTTTTGTTTGATCTTCCTTAAATCTGTCACTATCTGTCCATTAGTATCCTTCGGCATATCACTTTGAGATTGGGACCGCTTCTGAGTTTGGAGATTTGGGAGAACTTGTTTCATTTCATTTCATGTTGTTAGTGTCTTAACAATTATCACAACTCTGAAATTTGCAGCCTCTTGATAACATGAACGTCCCCCTATTACAATCCCACGTTACTATCACAGTGGCAGTAAAATAGTACAGGCTGGTAATGGTGGTCACAATTCATTAAGGCCCTGTCAAAAATTATATTCTTAAAACTGACTTGGAGAAAGAACAATCCAGAGAGTAAATATTGAAGGGGTGGGGGCCAGGGAGAGCTGTATATGCCTTCTTGCCAAATTCAGAATGTTCTGTCCTGTTTTCAGGATGGGGATGTGTGTAGCCTCAAAGAGATTTTCACAAAAAATGTGGATCAGTGAAAATCCACCCTGTATTTCCATATACAAACAGAATATAAGCACTTAGTCAAGCAGAAGGAAAAGAGTATGTATACTTTATTCCAAAATTTTCTCAATGTGTTTTGGAGGAAAACATCATTTTCAGAGGAATAGTACCAAAAGCACTGACATATTCTTTGTATTTGCTATGGTAAAAAAAATATGGAGCATTAATTGTGCCAAACAACTGAGAGATGCGTAAGTGATAGTCAGACAATCACTCGGTTCCTTCTTCATGTGAAGTACTGGTAATGACGGCTGTTCCTCACCCAGGCACCAAAGGCCTGGCTGCGCAGTTCCTTCCACGCCTCTTGATATGAAGCAGCAGCTTCTTTGTACTCCCAGTATGTCCGCAGCCTCTTGGCTCTAAAGAGAGCAAATGATACTTGGGGTGGACTCCTCTACTCTCTGGTTCAAGGCGTGGCTGGACAAACATTCTATACTACCCTTTCATAGCCTTCTTGGGGCAGTGCCAAAAGCTGCAACCATCTGTTTGCTAAAAGATATTACTGTATACAGGAGGAAAGCTCGCTGGCAGTTCTGCCTTGCACAGAAAAGACTGCAGAACACAGAGCCTGAATCCAGGGTTCACTGCCTTGCAAAGAAACTGAAGGTGGACAATGACAGGCTTGGTTTCACAAAAGTTTGGGAATAAAAGCAATCACCTCTCCACAAGGGCACCTAGGCTTTCCAAATACTTCCTCATTTGATTCTGGCAGAACTGGCCCTCTTATGAGGCAATCACCCAGGTGAACATTTTCTAAACATGTTAACCCTATAGAGCTTGCACAATAAAACTATCAATTTTCCACCAGGGTTTAAGCTTAAGCTTCTTGTGAGATGAGTGGCTATATAAATTTGGTATAGACAAGACAGGTAGACAGATAACAAGTCTGCTACTATAATATCTGTTGTCCCTTAACCAGTCCCTGCCTATTACCAACTCTGTGGCTAACATTCTGGGCTCTCTTGCAGAGGCATCTTCCAAGAAAACCAAGATCTGGCCTTTGCTACCCCGAAGAAATGGCACAGATGCCTGAATCGCTTGAGCTATGCAGCAACATGTCAAACCTAGAGAGGCTGGGTTGAGCTGGTTGCCAAATGACTGGCCCGTCTTACATGAGTGCAAAGTTGTGAAGACTTATGCCAGAAGAGGATCCTTCATAGGTCCTATATGGCTTGGCAAGCAGATACATGCAGGGCTATATATATTTCAGTCTATTCTCCCTATTTGGTTCCCTCATGCAGGGTAGGAATGAAGCAGAAGATTCAGGAAAAGACAAGTATTTTTCTGGGATACAGTGCCCAACCTCACATGAAATCCAGATGACATCTTCGCTTCAGGAATGCAAAACTAATCAAAACTTTCGATGAAAATCAAAACTAATGTATAGAATGCTGTGTTGGGGTTGGCATATGTTCACTCATCTCTATTCAATTTATATTTGTTTACATTCACATTTTATTAGCTGTATGGCCCTTGCCTGCACTGCATAATGCACCCACACAGCAGCCTGCTTGCGAGCTGCCAGGACTTGTGGCGTCTGTCAGCTTTCCCATTGACTGCTTCTTGGAAGCCAAAATGAAACTGCAAGTTGCCATTACACGAGGTCCTTGCTTAATAATGACAATGGGGACAGCCAGGATTGTTATCACATTGCTTAGCGATGGAAATTCCAACCCTAACTGCCATTGTAACCCAAGAACTATTTGTATTGAAAGTGGCAGTTGTCAAACTTTAACTACAAAAAAAAAATCTTTGCCTTCTCAGAAAAGCAGAAAAAAGCCAAAATCCTCTATCTTTGGTAGTTTAGATTTCATCTAATCTCATGCAAATATAAAGCAGAAAGCAGCTGCCTGCTCATCGTGGAAATGTGCCTAGGGCAAGTGATAGTTTTGAAAAATATTTTTGAAAAATGCAGGCATAGTGAAAATATGAGTAGCACTTGATCAAAATTTCGCAAGGAATGCACTATCACTCCATCATACCCAGGGTCAATCCCTGTCATTCAGAAAGATTTACTGCTCTATGAGATAGATCTGGGATGATAAGAGACAGGAAAAGCTAGGGCTGCTATGGAAATGAGGCAAAGCAGCACTCCCAATGGAGAAGACTCAGTATAAAGAAGCTGATCTTTAAAGCCTTCATGTGCACGTTCAGGTTCAAAACAGCAAAGAAAGAGCATCAGAACAAAATATGTGATGCACAGCAGTGGAAAACCAAAAACTGGATGCACTGAATAGGAGAGAAAGAAACCCTGAAATGACATGATCTGAGAAGAGAGTAAGGTGGGGTTAATAACAAGTCCTGGGAGAATTAAAAGTCTTACGTGAGAGTTTCTGGTAGGTTTTTCAGAGGAATGCTGGCCACCACCTCTAGAAAAGCATGGAAAAGTTCCACCTTGCAAATTCGAGATCTGTCATTAAGAGCAGAGCAAGTTCCAGTCAGACTTTCTGGCAAATTCCCATAGCAAAAGACCACAACAATAACTATTTGTGATTCTCTGCAAGATGCCCAGCTACCAAGAGAGTTGATGTTGGCGAATCAAACTGGTGTAGCTGGCTGATTACAAGAGAATCCAGTATCTGAATGCTTTACCGAAAGATACTCATTTAATCACTGCTGAACTTTTTTTAAAAAACTGTTCCTAAACCTCATAGTTCATAATCCAATAACAGGTGTATCATACCAATATGCACCACATATACCTGATTTTGGAGGGTATAGAAATGACACACACTGGAGATATTTGTGCTCAGTAACATCGAGTAATTGTAGGTGTCACCCTGTTATTGAAGGCTGCATTTTTGATAGCCTGGTATATAAATCTTTCATGCATCAAATTCAAATTCTGCAGTAACACTTTCAGCGTCAACCATGAGTATTGCAGATGACTACCTATTGACTATGAGTCATCAAGGCAATATAGTCCAGAATGTGGCCGCACGGGTGATTATGGGGGCGACACTGCGCACCCATATAACACCTTTCCTGCGCGAGCTGCACTGACTCCTGGTGATCTTTCGGGTGCGATTCAGGGTGATGGTCACCACCTTTACAGCACTCCATGGCTTAGGACCTGGGTATATACGAGATCCCCTTCTGCCACCAATAGCCTCCCACCGGCCAATAAGCTCCCACAGAGAGGGGCTCCTCAGGGTGCCGTCGGCCAAACAATGTAGACTGGCGACACCCAGGGGGAGAGCCTTCTCTGTGGGGGCACCAGCCCTCTGGAATGAGCTGCCCCTAAAGGTTCGTATGATCCTCGACCTGCGTACCTTTCGCCACGCCCTTAAGACTCTTTTGTTCCAACAGGCCGGGCTGGCTTAATATTTCATTTTCATTTTATTTAATTTGTATACCGCCCTACTCCCAAAGGACTCAGGGCGGTGAACAGGCACAGAATAAAAACACGTAAAATACAAAAATTAAGAACAGAAGTAAAATCAAATTAAATCAATTTAGCCCAAGACAAATTTAAAACCCCAGGTTAAGAACAAATTAAAATTTACATTAAAAAAAGAATGGGAAAGGTTAGGCCAGACCAGCCTGGTGAAATAGAAAGGTTTTAAGAGCGCGGCAGAAGGTGCATAGATCCGGGATCCTCCGTATCTCCGGGGGGAGCTCGTTCCAGATAGTAGGTGCCCCTATGAATTTTAAATTGGGTGTTTGCTAGCTTTTAACTTTGTGGGCCAAATTTTATATATTCGTTTTAAATTGTTTTTAAATTTTGTGAGTTTATATGTGTTTTAATATGGCTGTACACCGCCCTGAGTCCTTTGGGAGAAGGGCAGTATAGAAGTTCAATAAAATCAAATCAAAATCAATATATTAACTGTTAGCAATTACAAAAACCCTCTCCAGAATGACCACATTTGGGACAAAATATCCCTTAGATATTCACTCATAGGCTGCGCATGTTGATTAATAGATTGTTTACAACCCTACAGTTTCTTACAACTATACTCATTCGCTCTGGTTCGGGAGAACCAGTACTGATAAAAATTACCAGTTCAGGCAAACAGGTAGAAAAAAAAAAAGCTACCGGTTCGATCAAATGGGTAGTTAAAAAGCTACTGGTTCACCAGTATTTCCGACGATCAGCTGTCAGAACAGGAAATCCTGCTTTCTAGCGAAGCTGAATCACGCGGCACAGCTGTTTCCCCCCCCCCCCCGTTCTACTTACCTACTGGTCTTCTTTTTCCATGCGAAGCGCACGTTTGCCACGCAGCATGCTTTTGGCATGCACTGTGCATGTGCGCGCACTTAGTGCGCACCACACATGCGTGGGCAGCGAACCAGTGGCGATCCACAGAGGATTTCACCACTGAAGTGATCACCATACAACCAGCATGGCTTATCCCCTTCTCCAGAAAACACTGGGCAAAAGTTACTTGTTAGCTCATGCAAGGCTTTAAACTATTTGCTCAAACTTCTGCTTTTTCTCAATCAACCCAAAGATCCCCCATTTTGCCATCCAAGAGGCTGGTTCTATTGAACTGCAACAAGGACGCTTCCATCGCTCTCTAGGCAGAGCCGAGGCAGACAGGAATTTGTTGGCAAGAAGAGGCACATGACATGCCAAAGTAATAAATCAGCCACAGGCAACAGGAAATTTAAAATCCAAGCAAATATTTAATAACTATACCTTGAATCCATATCACCAAATAAGGACAAAGAATACTAAGAGTGCATCTACAGTTTATTTATTTAATCAATTAACTGATCTATATATTATATTGATGCAGACTTTCACGGCCAGCACCAATCACAAGTGTGTTACAAAGCAGACTACTTTCACCTATGAAGATGCCAGCCACAGTTGCTGGCAAAACTTCAGGACATCATCAGTAAGTGGACCACAGCCTAGTCAGAAGCTCATCATATTGCATCTAATTATCTCATACAGCAGTCTCATAAACTGTTCAGAATTTCACAATCTGAATCCTAACCCTTCTTAGGACGTTTTGCAAAGTTTTTTGATGGCAGTTTTTCAATTCTTTTATAACAGGTGGAGAAAACAACTTCCCACATGTGGACGCCATCTACAGTTGCAAGAAAAAGTATGTGAACCCCTTGGGATTATGTGGAGTTTTGCATGAATTGGTCATAAAATGTGCTCTGAACTTAATCTAAATCACAATAATAGAAAAACACAGTCTGCTTAAAATAATACTACCCAAACATTAGATGTTGCCATGGTTTAATTGAACATAACATGTAAACATTCACAGTGCAGGGAAGAAAAAGTATGTGAGCCCCTAGCCTAATGACTTCTCCAAGAGCTAATTGGAGCCAGGAGTGAGCCAACCTTGACTCCAATCAGTGTGATGTTATTGGATGTGTTGCTGACAACTGTCCTGCCCTTTAAAAACACACACCTGTTTTGGGTTTACTGGTTTCAAGAAGCACTGTCTGATGTGAACCATGCCTCGCAGAAAAGAGCTCTCAGAAGACCTATGATCAAGAATCGTTAACTTGCATGAAGCTGGCAAGGGTTACAAAAGTATCTCCAAAAGCCTTGATGTTCATGTGTCCACGGTAAGACAGTCTACAAATGGAGAAAGTTTAGCACTGTTGCTACTCTCCCTAGGCGTAGTCATCCTGTAAAAATGACTGCAAGAGCACAGCGCAGAATGCTTCATGAGGTAAAGAAGAATCCTAGAGTGTCAGCTAAAGACCTACAGAAATCTCTGGCACATGCTAACATTTTTGTTGACACATCTACAATAAGGAAAACATTAAACAAGAATGGAGTACATGGGAGGACACCACGGAGGAAGCCATTGCTGTCCAAAAAAAATATTGCAGCACGTTTGAAGTTTGCAAAAGAGCACCTGGATGTTCCACAGCACTACTGGCAAAATATACTGTGAAACCAAAATTGAGTTGTTTGGGAAGAACACACAACACTATGTGTGGAGAAAAAAAGGCACAGCACTCCAATATCAAAACCTCATCCCCACTGTAAAACATTGCAGAGGGAGCATCATGGTTTGGGCCTGCTTTGCTGCCTCAGGGCCTGGACGGATTGTTGTCATTGATGGGAAAATGAATTCCAGAGTTTATCAAGACATTTTGCAGGAAAACGTACGACCATCTGTCCGCCAACTGAAGCTCCGCAGAGAATGGGTGATGCAACAGGACAATGACCCAAAGCATACAAGTAATTCAACAAAAAAATGGCTTCAACAGCACAGAATACGCCTTCTGGAGTGGCCCAGTCAGAGTCCTGACCTCAACCCGATTGAAATGCTGTGGCATGGCCTTAAGAAAGCGATTCACACCAGACATCCCAAGAATATTGCTACACTGAAACAGTTTTGTGAAGAGGAGTGGTCCAAAATTACTCCAGATCGTTGTGCAGGTCTGATCTGCAACTACAGGAAACATTTGGTTGAGGTTATTGCTGCCAAAGGAGGGTCAACCAGTTATTAAGTCCAAAGGTTCACATACTTTTTCCTCCCTGCTCTGTGAATGTTTACATGTTATGTTCAATTAAACCATGGCAACATCTAATGTTTGTGTAGTATTATTTTAAGCAGACTGTGTTTTTCTATTGTTGTGACTTAGATGAAGTTCAGAGCACATTTTATGACCAATTCATGCAAAACTCCACGTAATCCCAAGGGGTTCACATACTTTTTCTTGCAATCTTGTAGTGATCATCCACTACCACTACAAGTTGAAAAATTTGGTCTTGTTTGCGCAGAAGATTTAAGGGGCAAAACAGAAATGTAAGTCTTCATTTCCTCTCCTTAACACACTTCCACTAATCCCATACACCATTATTTTCCCTAATGTTGGTTTTACGGGGCCAAAATGTGCTCCTAAAATTACCCCCAAATATTGGCTGTATTCACTTTGGTGACACTAAGAGTTCAAGTTATGCCCCTACAGAAATCAGACGAAAAATCAGGAAGTCCCTGGCTGCTAAAACATTGCCCACAGGTGATCCAACAGTCTGAGCAGCAAGGGCAAGAGAAAAGGAAGGCATTTTCAACAAAGAATGGTTTTTGTTCTTAAAAACAAACCATTCTGTGATTTTCTAATATTAATTACTGAAGTTCTCTAAGTCCAATAGCATGGATTTTCAGGGCCATGCTTTAAAGTCAGTTTGTGCTACCACACATAAGACTCTCAAGCAACTCTGCAAGAAACTAAACAATAAGCAAATCATTCAGGTTTTTTCCCCAAAAGAGATCCAGGATGAAGTATTGACAACCAGAGCGCTCAAATCCCCCCCCCCCTTTTTTTTGCCATTCAGTGATCTTCCAATCCCCCCCCCGACACACATACACACCCCTACCCGTGAACTCCACACTGTGTGTGAAGGGATCTAGGCAGAATCTCTAGGCGAGCACATGTACCTGGATATCAAGCTCCCAATCCTTTTCTTGGAAGTCCCTTGTCTAAAACCATGTGAAGTGACATCTAATGGATGCTCTGGGACAGCACTCCAACTGATAGCTGAAAAATAGGGTGAGAGAGGTTACTTTCAAAGAAACAGGTGCTATTTCTATTGCTGCAAAACAATTCCTTCAGACTGACGACAACAGTATGATTTTGCTTCTACAGTTCAGGAAATCTATTTCACCAGCTTTTCCAGAAGTCCCTTCCCGCAACTCTTAGTGTGCTACCTACCTTAAAACTTCTTATATGAATTAACCTTTTTCACAGGATCTTTAGTATAGTTTTCAAGCTACACCCCATCTCAGACAGTGTCCAAGGACCATGAGCTTCTTTCATAAATTTACGTAAGATTCAGAGTACCGTTTTCTTGGAAAGCAAGCTTAGAAGTAAAGTCACTCTCCTAATTGGTCAGTACTATAAATACCAGGCTAAAAAGCAGATGCCATGTAGTTACTTTTATTAGAACTGCTACAGTAACAGAATCTTGCAAGTCTCATTGTGCTTTACTTCCTCCCTCTTTTATCTTCATGAGAATTAAGGAGATGGCCTAAGAAGTTTTGTAAATCATTTTCTTGGCCTGGGCTTAAGCTTTGTTTATCTGGTTGCTGCCTTGATAAGGATCTTCCTTCTATCTTTCAAGGTCTAGACCAGTGATGGCTAACCTTTTTGCCATCGCGTGCCAAAAGCTGGGGGAGTGCTGACTTCCGGTGGGCCCAGATGGCCCAAAAATCAGCTGGCCAGTACACGCATGCATGCTGGAGCTGAGTTAGGGCAACGCTCACGTGCCCACCAATATGGCTAGGCATGCCACCTGTGGGCACGCGGGTCTTAGTTTCACCATCACGGGTCTAGACTCACTACACAATTCTATTAACTAGTGGTTCAGAATAACTGCTGATTTCTAAGATTCTTTTGAAGTTCCCAGAACTGACTGTGACTTCACCTATGTGAGGGATTGTCTATTTCCCCGGGGTGTTGTGTTCAAACTGGCTTGGCATAACTTAGTTTCCTTCAATTCAACAATGCCATCTCCCAGGTCTCTGAAAGTGCACCTTCTCTGCCATAACACCTGCCCTCTGGAATGAAATTTCCCCCGAATCTGGATGGTTCCCACCCTTCTGGCATTTCAAAGGACTCTAAAGACTTGCTTCTTTGCCCAGTCCTTTGGCTAGGATGGGTAAGCCTCTTCGGATTTTGTTGCTGCCCGGTTTTGTCGTCTCTGTTTCTTCCTTATTGCTGCATTCTTGTTTTGTAGTTTTGTTTTTATGAATTGCCCACAGCTATTGGGAATCAGGCAGTTTACAAAGTAAATGAAATATCAATCAGGAATCAATTCATCAACCAGTAACATGTTTATTTATTAGGTAAGTGTACATGCAAACGCATGTGAAAAATAAAAACTCACCACCTTGTCATTAATTAAACCTTCTCCTCCTAGCTCATCAGTTGTCTTTCCTACGTCACAGTGACACCACTGCAAGTTACTATTATAGGAATTTGCTTAAAGATCCAGCCACGGACTGCACAGCTCTGGTAACAGACTGAAGATGCAGTTCCCACAACACATCAGCTCACCACAACCTATTCTAATAAGCAAGGATATGAAAGGGCAAAAGAGAATTCTCACAAATTCACCCCCTTCATATTCCTTCCGTGATATTTACCTGTGCCACAGGACACTAACTTTCCTTGTCCCAGAACATTGCCAGACTTGGCTGCTTCACGACTATGGATGAAACCTAGCTGGGACTGTAGAATTTCCAACTCTTGAACCTGGAAACCATCTGGCAAATGTGAGACTAGATGACACCTAGGAAGGAGGGGAGGAATAATGTCATATATATGTATGTGTGCGTGTGTGTGTACACACAATATATATATATACATATATATACATATACATATACATATACATACATACATACATACATACATACATACATATATATATGACTTGTTTACTGCCAGTCTCGCTTTTCATTCAGCAATAACAAAAGGTCATCCATTTGGTATAAAAAAGCAAACATTCTGGCCACATCCTCTATATCACTGTAAACAAATCCTCAGAATAGAGAAGATTTTGCATACAGAGCTAATTTTGCAGAGAGACAGATCAAGGTTAGACCAATTTATGTGTTTCACAGAGCAGTTAAAATTATGGCCAATGGAAGTGAAACTGTCAATGATCAGAGATGTACTGCTTTCGTCCTTTGCTTATTTTAAACAGGTTTCTATCCCTTAAAGCTGTAAAGAAGAGTTGTGGGATTATTAAGACATTCTTGTTAAATCTTGGAAGCAATACAAGATTTGGGAGAAGCAGAAAACAAGAAAAAGAACAATTCTCTGTCCCTCAGCAATTAATCAGCTATTTGGCAATAGCCAAATAAAATATGAACAGGATCTTAATTTGCTTAATATGAATTGCACATTTTTGCAATATAAAGACCTCTCCAAATTCAGGATGCTTAGGATAGAATGTTCATCACCAGAGTGAAGGGGAGGAAAAAAAAGACTATGCTAACAAGAAGCTAAACAGCTGCACTAAACTTAATCCACTCATTTTCTACCAGTTTGCCCAAGAGGTAGGTTCTATAAACGCGCTGGGACAGACTAAATAAAAAAATCTTGAAAAAAATCATCCAGCGCAGTTTCCAGGATGACCTATTTTTGAAAACAACCCCTCTCCAAATCCATTAAGATGTCAGTTACCCAGGACCTTGCTAGCATTAAAAGTAAGCAAAAAATTTAGACCTAGGTGCACACATCTTTTTCATCATGAATAATCTCCATAAACTCAAGAAGTGGTTTGCTCTTCCAGGTAACTGCATCTCTTGCCATCCCATCACAACTGCTGAGAATTTACAGAAGGGACAAGGTATCCCTTCATGTTGCACTTGTGCATTGAGCAGAGGAACTGCAGAAGTGCTGTGCTGTCCCATCATGATTGCCTAGTTATAACTCACTCACCTTGCCACAATGGCCCTGTGCAGAGCTTCCCGATTGTAGGGGCACTGACCCACCACCAAGGCTGGCAGGTAGATAGGCTGCTGAAGGAAATGCATCAGAAGTGCTCCCTGCCAGCCAAGAACATTCAAGCGTGCCAGTTTATCACTACAAGACATGGAGGCTGTCTGGGCTCCACGGCCTGGTTTGATCCGTAGCAACCCTATGGTATGATATTCAATGCCTGGCCTTCGGGAATCCATTGTTTCTCCTTGGACACATTTGGCCCCTGTTCTATGCAGATCCACTATTTGGGTTCCTCTAAGGTGATCAGCTGGGAACTCTGAATTATTGATAGAATTGCTATCATCCATTCTTGGTTTCTTGGGAGAGGAACCAGTGACTGTTTCTTCAATCTCCCTTTTATAGCTCTCTTGTACCCTGCAGTCACTCCTGCCCATTCTGGGTACTTTTTGGGGGCTCAGGAGCAAACATGGCTGGGCATCCATTTCCATCATTGGGATAATGGAGCCATCCCCACCTACAAAAAACAGGAGAGTGTACAACTTAAAGAGTAGAAGAGACATATTTTCAACATCAGAGAACAATTATCTAATGATAAGGAATTATGTCTTGGTAAGAGGCCAACGTAGGCAATTTCCTGAGAAACCTAGGCAATTTCCCTTCATTATTAAATTCCATAAAATATAAGCACAGGAACAAAAATATCCTCTAGTAAATAGGAATATATTAACAATCCTGCTTTTATTTGTAATACAGTATTATAAATAAAAATAACAATTGAGTTGGAACCACCACTAACTTTCTATGAACAGATTTAAGAATCTTCTAGCCAGAATATGTATAACGAGCCAAAATATTATATTATCTGCAAGCATCAGTGAAATTTCAGAAAGACTTCACTTTAAGTGGATCTACCAGAAACTAGCTGTAGGGCTAGTTCTCATTTGAATGATTCTATGATTTCATAACCAAACAAAGTATATGTAAATTGGAATAGTTTTTAAGGTTTAAATTGATTTGAACCTCTACGTCTGGACTTTTGCATATATTTACTCAATAATATATACAATTATCAAAGCAACAGCATTTTATTTACAACAGATAACAGAGACTCTTTGAGGCTCAGGGTTGAAATGAGGGGTCCTTGGTGCATTTGGAGCTTTTTTTCTTGCAGAAGTTTCATTACCCAAACCTAGGTAACATCATGCACTAGTTTGGGCAATGAAATGTCTACAAGAAAACAACCGAGCTCAGAGAGCACCAAGGACCCCTAATTTGCAACAGATTAAAAAGACATCAGCCAATAATTTTGTATTTTTTTAAAAAAATTATATCCAGCCTTTCCATACAGAGAATGTAAAGGCATTTCCCATTTTGTGATCTCGAGAAGTTTTTGAGGTGACTTATCAAAGTGAGCTACTGATCCAAATAACTTTCATGATCTCTCCAGTCCACTCTGTTGTCCCATTAAGAAACTGAATACTTCCACTACCTAAACTTTAACTCCCTTCTTTCCACCACAACATATACTCAAATAAAATGCAGCAGTACTAAGTCACCTACCAAGGAGTCAATTAAAGAAAGAGAAGCAATTCTTCCAAATATGAGAAAGTCAATTAAATTATTCCAATAATACTTACAAGGTGTGCGACTGGTGAAAAAAACAAAGCTGATAAGCGGTTTGAGAAGCCATTTCCCTTTTTCGGTTCCAGGGGTGAAAATGCTAGGCTCCTGACCTACAGCAGCTAGCCAAAGTTGATGAATAAGATACCTGATGGGCAAGAGGATAGAATCCTTAGAAGGCACAGAATAATCGCCATTCTTAAGACACGGGAGAGAAATATGGCCCCAGAACTTTGTTAAATAATTATGAACACTTGTTTTTTGCTGCTGAAAAGACAGGTAAACTGATTAATGAAAAATACAAGTGAGGGGGCTCTTTCAGCCAGAAAGAATTGAGAATAGAATTTGGTAACTGCCAGGAATAACTTAGGACAATTATTGCAGTTGGAGGCATTATTTACATTTACTTATTTACATCTACAATCCACCTTTCCTAAAAATGCCCTGCAATAAGTATCACTTTTAGAAAACCAATGCAGGTATTCCTCGAATGTTCACTTAGTAAATCTTCAAAGTTACAATATCCCTGCCAAAAGTACTTACGACCTGGTCCCAAAATCACATATCTTGCAGCATCACAGCAGTTGTTCGCCCTTATGAATGACTGTAGAGACGCTACAACATGCTCCTTTGGCACCAAGCCTGAGAGCCCCATGCTCGCCTCCTGCACAGCCTTGGGTGCCAGAGCCCTTGTCCAGCCAAACGGAGAAGCGCCAGGCTGGTCTCTCCCCTTCCCTTCCGAGCCCTCCCTCCCCCACTCCCATGCAGGGTGCATTCTGAGGCCTTTTCCAAATTATAAGAGGGGCTCCTAATCAAACCTGCTTTCCAGCTCCATCGCATTTCTCCCTGCAGCTCAAGACACTCTTATTTCACTGGAAAAAAAGGATGAAATAAGTAGGGTAACCAAAGAAGAATCCTCTGAAGTTGTTGCTTTTCCCAGTGCAGAGCAGGAGAGACCATACAATTCCATGAGACAATTTTGGGGAATGACCAAGTCTGTTGTCTGGAAGCTTCCTCTAAAAAGAACCCTAAAAAGAAAAGGAAGACCAGCATTTCCAACTTTCTGCAAGTCATTTCTGGAAGTTGCCTAGTGGAGTTGCATGGTCTCTCCTGCTCCGCATTGGGGAAAGCGACAACTTTGGAGAATTCTTCTTTGGTTTCCCTGCATGCTTCTTGCTTTTGCGACACAGCTTTTCCATTTCTCCAGCAAAAGCAGAGTGTCTTGAGCTGTGGGGTAAAACACGGCAGAGCTGGAAAGGTGGTTTGATTAGGAGCCCCTCTTGCGATTTGAAAAAGGCCTCAGTGCGTTCGGCAAATGAGGGGCGCGGGGCGGAGGCACGCCATGTCCTCCAGCTCCACGGTAGTGCAATTGCTTAAATCTGGGCACTGTTCTGCCCCAAAGAACAGTGCCCAGTACGGACCCCAAAGAATGCAGCACACACAAAGTCTGTACAAACCTTAGTTTACTAAATTAAATCAGTCTTTTTCAAACAAAGGCTGTTAATTAACTTTCTTAACAGCCTACAAGAATCCAAAGAATAAATAATCGTAATCTTACTATGGTTGGCAGAAAGCCCAGAAGTAATTTGCAGAGAACTAAGATCAAGACACAAAGGACAGTGAACGAAGTTGTTCCCTGCAAATTGCCTCAGTCGTTGTCCTTCCTTAAATAGTCTAAGGGAGTGGCCAATTAGCCCCAAGCCTTACTCTCGAGGAGACCTCCTCCTGAGGAGCCACTCCTGCCTTTTGGCAGCTCTGCGCGCCCATGCATCGAGAAGAGGCTCCTCCTCTTCTTTCTCTTCACTTATGGGAGCTTCTGGAGGTTCTGAAGGCCCTGGCTGAATCCCCGCCTCTGGCACCACATCTTCTTCAGCCTTCTCATTGTCCGACTTGAGTGCCAGCTGCACAGGCTGCTGGCGCAGCACCACACCAGCCTCCTCGCTGTCGGAATCAGCTACTAGCTGCACAGGCTGCTGACGGGCCACAACAGGCAGTTCAGTGCTCCAGCAAGTGGCAGGGCAGGGCTGCGCCCACTTGTGAGAAAAGCTGGGCTCGGCAGGAAAGGGAAGAGGATGGCCAGGTGCTTCTTCGCCTGTCTGGACAAGGGCTCCGACCTCCAAGGCCACACAGGAGATGAGTGTGGGCAGTGTGGGGCTCTCAGACATAGTGCCAAAGGTGAGCAATTGATGACAGGGTGGGGAAGAAAGCCCAAGCAGCTTGGGACCCCAAGGGGTGGGAAGAGCCTGGGACCTCTCAGTCGGTGGGGGGAGGCCAGAGGCAGTGATCTTATCCCTCCCATGGTCCTCCCATTTCCTGAGGTATCCCACGCGCTTTTAACAACCCGTGCATTTGTTTAACTAATGCATTGGGGAGTGGAGGGGTGGGGTTTGTTCATTTAACAAGTTCCAATTATCAAATCCTCTTGGCAGGCTCCATTACATTCGTAACTTAACTGTAAAGCATCAACAAGAAAATCAATCTCCCTTCAAAAGAAAGTAGAAAAAATAAGCGTTGCTGTGATGTACAAGTGTTGGGTTAGGACCGGGGAAGCCCAAATTCAAGCCTACCCTCAGACTTTGAGCCACATGCTCTTTCTCAGCTTAACTACAGGATAGTTTGGTATTTGGCCCAGAAAGAGAGGCATTAACCAGAATCCAAAATGTTAGCATGATTGCCAGAAGCTGGGAGAAAAGAGGTTTAGCTCAGGATCCAATCTCTGCAGGAACAAGAGAGGCCTTCGCACAGATAGCCAGATTCATGCCCCTTGGAGTATAAGAAGTGGGCTTAGCCTAGGAATGGAGAAGCAGCTGGGCACAGTTCTTTCAGCTGACGCCCGACTCCTCTTCCTGGCAGCTCCCTTAGGAATCAACCAGCCTTCCCAAACTGCTCGGCGGCCACGTCCTGAATTCTCTCGCACCTACCTCTGGAAGCTTCTCTTGGCCACCACCTCCGCATGACTGTCGTTGAGGACGTCCCCTGTAAAGCAGCAGCGCGCCCGAGTCAGAAGGAGCCGGAGGAGCCGGGTCGGCCCTCGCGCCCCACCGAACCTCGCTTACCGGTCTCCCTCATCTCGGACTGGCCGATACACTTCGTGCCGGTTCCCATGGCCACGACTTCCTTCACGGCTAAGGGGAGAAAGGCAGGTCACGCGACGGGGGAAGAGCAGGACCCCTCAGGCCTGGCCCCCGCCCCGCCGTCCCCCGCCTGCCACTCGTCTCCCTGCCGAGGGCCTCACCGGAAGGCGCCCCGCCACCTTCCGCTCGCTCTGTCCGCAGCACCGCCGCCAGCTCAGTCCATTCGCGCGTGCCGCGGCCCGGCTTCCCCTGCTTCGGCAGCCGCGCTTCATAATGGCGGTAGCAGAGAGCCGCCACTTGGTCTACGTCCCACATGGCCCAGGGCGGAAGGAGGGCGGACAGGACCGGAAGCGGCGCATCCCTCCCTTTTCCGGCGGAAACGAAAGACAAAATAAAGGTTCTCCCAAAGCAAGAACACGGCGTCGTCCCGGCGCTCGGAGGAGGCGGGACCCGACCCTGGTTTTCGGTGGTCTCGCGAGGTTGGCGTCGCCCCGACCCCGATCCCCCGCCGAGCGAGCTGCCTAAAGCCAGGTTTCGCCGTCAGGGAGCTGCTAGTCAAGGCTCGAAGCGTGGCGAGGTTAGGGCCACTGTTTCAGCTATGCTCGTAGCAGAGTTTTCCCTATTCTCTTCCATGTTTTGCTTTCTTTTGGAAAGCTCTTTAATGAACATTATTAAGAAAGGCCACTCATTCTATATAACAATCCTTCCGCTTTTTGAAGACTAGCTTGCTTGCTTGCTTGCCCATCCATCTTGCCCAGTGGCCACTCTGGACAATTTACAAACGTCTTGGTTGTCTTTTCCTGATTGTTGAAACACGCCCAAATCCCTTTAACTGGTTAAGGGCTGGTTTAGACTCTTCACTATCTTGGTGAGCCTTCTTCAGAACCTGCCTCATTTTGAACTGTGGTATCTAGATCTGATATGGTATTCCAAATGGAGAACGGCCAGGGAATTATTTGTTTACATTTCATATTTCTAAACGGCCCATCTCTCTCAAAGAGAGAGTATATCTCAAAATATCCTTTCCCATTTTCGGAAATGTGTCACTCTCTTCATTTATGTTTAACGTTTGGTCAACAAGGACACTGATCTTTTTCACAAGCATTGCTGCCAAGCCAAATCTCACTCCCACTCAAGTCAAATATCTTGCATTAAACAATTACTTGACGGTTGATGGACCGGGAACTGGTTTTTAATTTTGTTTTTTTACTGTATCAACTAATTGTGAGAAGTGAAATGCAGAATGGTGTAAACAGAACAATAAAAACAAACTTTATGAGCTAGGCTGCTGCAGGCTGTAATATAATGAAAGCAATTTCTGAATGCAGCATTACCTGGTGCTATCAGAATGGAATAAATACTGAGTAGCTTTTTTTATGGGAAGAATCAAGGAAGCTGTAGTGGCTCCCTTCTGTTAGCTTACCAACACTGAAATGTACTGGCTAGTAAGAGGTGGAGAATGAAATTGGAACATCTAATCACTGGTATCCTAACTTTTACATTCAGTGGAATTAAGATGGTGTTGGGACTGAACTCAAGTTGATGGTCAAGCAGGAGCTGGGTTGACGGTCCCTACAACCCTCTCAATTTAGCTGCAAAGACAACACAAAGCCCATCACTGATAGATTTAAATCTCAAAAATCACATCAGAATCTGATGAACAAAAAAATGACCCAATGTGAGCTAGTGGCCACAATGAGGAGGCTACTATCAAAATAAAATTGCAAACTTCATTTATTCATGGCTGGAGAAAAAAAAGTGGCCCAGGCTTGTTGAAATCTAGAAATGACTTCCCCTGTCCTCCATGCTTCTTGTGCAAGCTGTTGTGTCACACTGAAGTCCCCTCACTAGAATCTGACAATGGATCCTTCTTCTTGTCTTCAGGCTTCATGGCGGGAAACAGCAGCACTTCCTGCAAGAAAAGGGGATTTCTGGTCATTCAATAGAGCTTCTTTTCCAAGGAAAGATCTCATCAGAAATCTCCAGAGCCACATTAGCATTATTTCCATCTAAGCTCTTTTAAGAAAGGTTTACGGAGATTCTCAGTCATGGTTGTCCCATTTTCAAGAGGAAACTGGACCTTGTTTTTCTTTGAAGATGTTTCGTTTCTCATCCAAGAAGCTTCTTCAGCTCTGAAGAATTTCCTCCATTCCCCACCATCCAGTCAGAGCTGAAGAAGCAAAATGTCTTCAAAGAAAAACAAAGTCCAGTTGCCTCTTGAAAAAGCATCTTTGGGACAACCATGACCTGGATGACTGAGAATCTCCATATTTAGCTATGCACTTTGGGATGAACACCCTTTGAATGGTACAGGAGTATGAACGGATTTCCAGAAAAATTACAGGAACCATTTGCACTTCACTGAGATATAGACAACACAGACTCATCCCCAACAACCTACGCCTATGTTCAATAGTGAAGGGACACAGGGCAGAAACATCCTACAAAAAGCACAGCTCCACAACATAGTCCCTTCAGCAGTTCCAAGAAGGCTCCACACTCATTTGTACTACTCAGGTGACGGACAAACCCCCAAGTGGGCTCAACGACACTCTAAAAGAATGCAAATGACCAGCTGTCTGCAAGGAATATAAATCCTTCCATTCTCAACCCAGTCAGAGCTGAAGAAACCTCTTGGATGAGAAGCAAAACATCTTTAAAAAATTTTTTTTAAAGAAATGTTACATTTTCCATTAAAGTCAAATATTTTCACATTCCCAAGTATGTTTTCAGCTCAAAAATTCTCACAAGCGCGTGCATTAAAGCACAAGAATGATTCCTCTCCCTTTTGAATGAATGCAGTAGCAAATCTAAAATGGCTGCCTTAGAATGTAGGAAGCAGCCCATCCTCCACCCAGGCAGGCCATGAATAGACAGAAAGCAGCCATCTATGGAGTGCTTACCTTAATATTGTTTGAATCAGTCAGGAACATGGTAAGACGGTCAATGCCCATGCCCCAACCAGCTGTGGGGGGCAATCCATACTCCAGAGCCATGCAGAAGTTCTCATCGATAAACATTGCCTCATCATCACCAGCAGCTTTTGCCTGGTTGGAAATTAACAGGCAGACAAGAATCATCTGCAGAGCCAGTCAGAGCAACTGGGGCTTGAGGGGAGGGAGTCAGGATTATATAACAATTATTATTTATTTATTTAATTTTATTTTATTTTTATACCGCCCTTCTCCTGCGGGACTCAGGGCGGTGTACAGCCAAGATAAAACATAGCATATAAAATTTAAAAACAGTTTAAAAAACAATTAAATAATTTCAGCCCAATAATTTAAAACAACCCAATTAAAACTGAATTCAATTAAAACTGAGAGGATGGGATCAAGCCAGCCCGGCTAGATGGAATAAGTGTGTTTTCAGGGCCTGACGAAAAGTCCGGAGATCTGATATTGTGCATATCTCAGGGGGAAGGTCATTCCAGAGGGCAGGTGCTGCCACAGAGAAGGCTCTCCCCCTGGGGGTCGCCAGCCGGCACTCTCTGGCCGACAGCACCCTGAGGAGGCCCTCTCTGTGCAAACGAACCGGTCGGTGGGAGGCTATTGGCGGCAGAAGGCGGTCTCGCAGATACCCTGGCCCTAAGCCATGGAGCGCTTGAAAGGTGGTCATTAACACCTTGAAGCGCACCCGGAAGACCACAGGAAGCCAGTGCAGCTCGCGCAGGAGAGGAGCCCCGTCGGTCCCATAATCCCCCGCGTGGCCGCATTCTGGACTAACTGCAGCCTCCGGGTGCACCCCAAGGGGAGCCCCATGTAGAGAGCATTGTAGTAGTCCAGGCGGGAAGTGAGTGCTTGAGTGACCGTGCGTAGGGAGTCCCGATCCAGAAAGGGGCGCAACTGGCGTATCAGGCAAACCTGATAAAAAGCCCCCCTGGCCACGGCCATCATATGCTCTTCTAAAGACAGCCGTGCATCCAGGAGGACGCCTAAGTTGCGAGCCCTCTCCATGGGGGCCAGTGATTCGCCCCCAATAGCCAGCGATGGCACCAGCTGGCTATATCGGGATGCCGGAAGCCACAGCCACTCAGTCTTGGAAGGGTTGAGTCGGAGCCTGTTTCTCCCCATCCAGGCCCGCACGGCCTCCAGGCACTGGGACATCACTTAAAGGGCATCATTGGGGTGGCCTGGGATGGAGATGTACAGCTGAGTGTCATCAGCATACTGATGGAACTCCACCCCAAGGCCACGGATGATCTCATCCAGTGGCTTTACATAAATGTTGAACAGAAGGGGCGAGAGGACCGACCTTTGTGGCACCCCACAAGCAAGGCGCCTCGGGGTCAACCGCTGCCCCCGTCAACACATATTGCGACCGGTCAGAGAGGTAGGAGGAGAACCACCGCAGAACGGTGCCCCCCACCCTCAGCCCCTTCAACCGGTGCAACATGATACCATGGTCGATGGTATCAAAAGCCGCTAAGAGATCTAACAGGACCAGCATAGAGGAACAACCCCTATCCCGAGCCCTCCAGAGATCATCCACCAATGCAACCAATGCCGTTTCCGTGCTGTGCCCAGGCCGGAAGCCGGACTGGAGTGGGTCTAGATAGACAGCTTCATCCAGGTACTGGGGAAACTGCCGCGCCACCACACTCTCAACAACCTTCACAACGAAGCGAATGTTGGAGACTGGACGAGAGTTAGCCAAAACAGCCGGATCCAGAGGGCTTCTTGAGGAGGGGCCTCACCACCGCTTCTTTCAAAGCGGCTGGCAGGATACCCTCACTCAGAGAAGCGTTAACAATCCTCTGGAGCCAGCCTCGTGTAACATCCCGGGAAGCCAGAACCAACCAGGAGGGACACGGGTCCAATAAACATGTAGTCGCATTCAGCCGTCCCAGGATCCTGTCCACGTCCTCGGGAGCCACAGGATCAAACTCCTCCCAGATAACACTCTCAAGACCTGCCTCAGTCATCCCGTCTGGACTTACCCATCAGAGGCCAGGCCTTCCCAAATCTGAGCGATCTTGTCATACAGATACTGCACAAAATCCTCAGCTCGACCCTGCAAGGGATCATCCCGCACTTCCAGATGGAGGAGGGAGCAGGTCACCCTAAACAGGGCGGCTGGGCGATTATCTGATGATGCAATAAGAGCGGCAAAATAGCTAGATTTCGTCGCTTTTATCACCACTAGGTAGGTCTTAATATGAGACCTCACCAGTGTTCGGTCGGATTCGGAGTGGCTGGTCCTCCAACTACTCTCCAGGTGTCTTTTCCAGCGCTTCATCTCCCTCAGCTCCTCGGAGAACCAAGGAGCTAGGTGAGTTCAGTGCCGGGTCAGAGGCCGCAAAGGCACGACACAGTCCAAAGCCCCGGCGGCCGCACTATCCCAGGCGGCCACCAGGTCTTCA